TTGGTTATTGACTCCGTGCGGTGAGTATCTGGTTATTGACTCCATACGGTGAGTATTTGGTTATTGACTCCGTGCGGTGAGTATTTGGTTATTGACTCAGTACGGTGAGTATTTGGTTATTGACTCCATGTGGTGAGTATCTGGTTATTGACTCAATACGGTGAGTATTTGGTTATTGACTCTGTGCGGTGAATATCTGGTTATTGACTCTGTGCGGTTAGTATTTGAATCGTTTACCTGATGAAGACAGATAATATATTAATTATAGTAAACAGATATGGTTAGAAACTATGCATTATTTCATGGGTCAAACCAGAATGGTTAGAATGGTTAGAGTTAGGACCCACTTAGAGGGGTCTGCCTTGACATTGGCAGGTGGGCTTACCCTCTCATGGCCATTGGAGGTAACTAAAAACCTCCATTTGTTTAAAAATACATAGGGATTAAGGAGAGAGCGCAGGTAACTTGTTTTTCTTTGGTTTTTGCTAGTGTCACCCAAAAATAGAAAAAAATGAACATAAACATGAATATAGGCCGTCATTTGCTTTCCCCACAACTTGCTGTGTTTACAGGTTTTAAGGGGCTTACTGTGCCCTTGGTAGCTAGCCGATACCCTGCTGGGACAACCCTGACACCAGCTGTGAGAGTCCTGTAATCAGCAGCTCCAGCGCCGAAAGCGGTGAGGTCAAATATTCCCAATGGTGAATCTGACAGTGAGTAGCGTTCCACATGTCTGCCCAACTGGGAGACCCCCAATCTGGCGTGTAGTTGCTCTGTGTCAACTGTCCTCGCGTGTTGTCGGTGTGGTCTACATCGCCGGATGCAGGCTGTCATAGGGCCTGTAGCCGCTTGTCGGTCATCAGTTCTTCTGGGTGGCTGTTCAGGTAGTCGTTTTGAGACAAGCCATCGGGCCATTTGGCGCTTAGTCAGAGGCCGCTTTCTTTTCTGCCGCCATGCAGGAGCCTTCACCCCATGAGGAGCCACTGACTCGTGAGGGAGTCCTCGATATGAGAAGGTGCTTGGCTGTGTAGGAGCAGGCTGATGCATTTTGCTTTCAAGTTGCTGCCAGAAGTGGAGGAAGTGCTTGTCCAGTCGAGTCCAGTTGAGTATATAACTTGGATCATCGCTGAAGGTTGAGGGGCACGCAGCCTCAGCTATCTTAGGTAGTTCACCAATAGGTAAGGATTCTGCTTGTTTTCCATGTGAATTGGGCAACCTCCCAGGAAGACACAGGGATCACCCCTGCCGGTCGGGGGGGAGGGGGGGGGGGTAACGCGGCGCCTTTATAGGATTTATGGACCCTGGGCACCGGTACAGGAGATTGGCCGCATCTCCAGCCCGGCGCTCACTAGGCCGCATTTTCTGCAGTGGGGCTGACCCCCAGTGCGATTCCAACCTCCTCTCTGTTGAGCAGAATGGTGAGGCTGCATGAATTTCTCTCGTTCTGGCCCAGATCAAGCTGTAATTGTGGGGTTTGTGGAGGAGCTCGTCTGAAGCACATTTTGCCTCCATGACAGTCAGGCCCCACCCCCCTATATGTTGATTTTTTTACATACAATATATATTTTCAGATTTCAATATTTTAAGAAAATGTCAAAAGTTTATGAAATGATAATAAATTATTTAACAAGCTTATAAAAAACAATTAAATTGAGGCCTATGTGAGAAGTAAAACTGCAGCAGCAATTATTTTCTGAATGAGAGTCAATTATCTCGTTCTCAGATGTTCAGATTAAGAGATTTCCCTGTATTCTTGCTTTTTGCCCCCACTATTCCTCTATGAGGAGGATTGGACCTCGCAGGAGGTGAATCAAATGGCTGCAGGGACTCCATCTCAGTCCTGGAAAAAAGTTGTATTACTCAATATTCCATTTCTTTATTAAGATTTAGAGGGGGCTGAATCTAAATAAAGATGAGACCAAGCCTGTATTCCCATTGCTATAGTGTCCCTTTAATATTTAATTACCTAAGCAGGAGATCATTTCTAAAGTAAACACACTGTGCTTTAAAATCTGATTGAAAATGAAATCATTATTTTCATGCAGGCAGTGTGAGTCACAATCAGGGGAGGTGTGGTTCCAAACAGAACCAAAGGTGATTTTACTCCCAAACAGCTTAGAATTGACAGTAAGACTTAGTAGTCATGGACTCCAGACTGAGGACAGACTTACTATTAAACGGGGCTCCACATGATGTGCGTCAATAGGAAAACTCTGGAATCGAGCCTCGATGATGCCATGGAGTGGTACGTGGTAGGTACGTATGATGGTATTCCTCATGTAGCTAATAGGAAAACCAGCCACTCAGTTGTGCTATGGAAGGAGAAGACACGTAAATAAAACAAACAAATCATCTGCCAGGTGCATATTCTTGACAGTATAATGATGCATAGGATCATCAACTGTGCCATTATGAACCGTCTCACCAGAGTTTGTCTCCTTTGAGTTTGGGAAAGTGGGACATCATTCTTTTAAATCGATCAACAAAAGATGTCTCTACTCAGTGACTTAATTTCACGAGGAACTCACAGCACTGAGATAAGGAGCTACTGAATACTCAATTAAAATAGACACAAAAAGAAGCCTAAATCATATAAAATGATATCAAGATTTAAATGAAAATGCCAGTATCTGAAAATATGAAGAGGTGTCTATACGGTGGCTGTATGTATATTTAGAGCTGAGTCAAATTTTATTCACGTCGCTATTTATTGGTTATTGGAATATTAACATGAAACTATATATCAGCAGGTTTGAATGTTTATTATTTAATATGATGGGTTCTGTCATCTTGAGAAATAATGTAATGCATGTAGGCACATATTTAGGCAAATGTAGAAATATAAATGTTTTGCTTGCTTGCATCAGAGACTTTACATTAGGTCTATAAACCCTAACCACTATTAACATACAACTCTAGTGTGGAACAGTAAGAACTTAGAATGCATTAGATAAAGTAATTTGCTATTGGAGGTAGTGCTACGTAAACTAAAATAGGGGAATATCTCTAGACCAGCGTTTCCCAATTAGTGTTGGAACACCAATTGGGGTTCCGCCAAAAGTTAAAATAATAAAATGGGCGCGGACGGCAAGGGAGCAGTGAGCAGTGATCTCCCTGCTCAGCTCCCTCACGCGCACAGCAGTGATGCTGGAGCCGGAATTTGACGTCACTCCGGCTCCAACATCACTAAGAGGCGAGCGAGGGATCACTGCTCCCTCACCACCCGCACGCCAGCCACCCAGCAGGCCCACTGGACCCAAGGTACCCCTCGCCAGCCACCCACCAGCCCCACTGGAGCACAGGGACTCCATGCAAGTACTCCTAAAGGAAGGGGGGCTGGGTGGAGTAAAATGTAAAAAAATAAATTGTATGTCTGTCTGTCAGGGAGTTTGTATGTGTTTGTGTGTCTGTCAAAGAGTATATTTGTGTTTTTCAGTGAGAGTGAATGTGTTCTTGTCAGTGAGAGTGTATATGTGTTTCTATGTGTGTCTGTAAAAGAGTATGTGTGTTTGTCAGTGAGAGTGTATGTGTGTCTGTCAAAGAGCATGTGATACATACACACACACACACACACACAGATACGCACTGACACAGAGATACACACACTGGCGCATATAAACACAGATATACACACCTTGACACACTGACACATACAAACACAGATACACACACTTTGAAACATAGACACACCCATATTGACACACAGATACATATACACACAGATACACACTGTGTGTCAAGGTGTGTGTATCTGTGTCAGTGTGTGTATCTGTGTGCCACTATCTGTCAGTGTGTGTGTATCTGTGTGTCAGAATCATACACACTGGCACATACAAACACAGATACACACACCTTGATACACAGACACATACAAACACAGATACACACACTTTAACAGACAGATAGATAGATACATACATACACACACAGATACACACTGTGTGTCAAGGTGTGAGTATCTGTGTGTCAGATATACACATACACACACTGGTACATACAAGCACAGCTATACACACCTTGACACACACCGACACATACAAAAAACAGCGCAATTTAGATTTTTTCCAGGGGGACAAATTCATTGGGAACCCCTGCTCTAGACCATTCTGAAATCATGCTGCCATTGCCCCTTTGAATCATAGTACTTAATACACTTAGCCTTGTTGTTGCAGTCATGGTTTTATGGCCGTACCCACACAAAAAAATACTTCAAGATATTCAGTGCAGCAACTCCTGAAACTTGTTATATTCAGTCCATTAAGTCCACATTAATCCAGTAATGGTAAACCAAGCACTTCCTCTGGCCTCTATGTGGAAATGGTAACAAATTATATCTAGCAGCAGAAGGTAGAGGGATTTTCTGAGGTCCAGATCTAACATTTCTTTTCATCCTGTAACTTTTTCCTCTTCCCACATCAATTCAGTAACACAATAATTCTATAGATTTGCTTACATTGCTTTATTATATTTGTGCTGTAGTAATGTAATGTCTCACTTGCAATTAAAATAATAATAAATGTCCTTGGATATATAGTACAACAGAAGTAGGGTCATTCGTATCCAGATGCTTGTTATTCTGTAACACCTCTGTTTCTCATTTAGAATTTCAATCAAAGCTGGAATTTTCTGTCTGTGCACATCTCCTATATTTTTTTTCCAATTTATACCTACCTTCCCCTATGGGCTATTAAACTGGTGGTAGATATGATATTCAGGTACTCCAGACTAGTTGCAGACTTAATACCGTAGTCATGGACCCCAGACTGAGGACAGACTTCATGCATTCCAGACTGGTGTTAGATTTGATATTCAGTGACTGCAGACTGGTGGCAGATATGATATTTAGGGACTTCAGACTGGTGGCAGATATGATATTTAGGGATTCCGGACTTATTTCTGATTTAATATTCAGGGATTCTGGACTTGCGGCAGATTTAGGGATTCTGTAATGGGAGAAGATTTGATATCCAGGGATTCCAGACAAGGGGTAGATTTAATATTCAGGGATTCTGTACTAGGGCAGATTTAATATTCAGGGATTCCAGACTGGGGGCAGACTTGATATTCAGGGACTCCAGACTGATGGTAGATTTAATATTCAGGTACTCCAGACTGATGGTAGATTTAATATTCAGGTACTCCAGACTGATGGTAGATTTAATATTCAGGTACTCCAGACTGGGGCCAGACTTGATATTCAGGGACTCCAGACTGATGGTAGATTTAATATTCAGGTACTCCAGACTTGGGGCAGATTTGATATTCAGGGACTCCAGACTGATGGTAGATTTAATATTTAGGGACTCCGGACTGGAGGTAGATTTAGTATTCAGGGACTCCAGACTGGGGGCAGACTTGATATGCAGGGACTCCACACTGATGGTAGATTTAATATTCAGGCACTCCAGACTGGGGGCAGATTTGATATTCAGGGACTCCAGACTGATGGTAGATTTAATATTCAGGTACTCCAGACTGAGGGCAGATTTAATATTCAGGGATTCCAGACTGGGGCCAGTCTTAAAATTCAGGGACTCCAGACTGATGGTAGATTTAATATTCAGGTACTCCAGACTGGGGGCAGATTTGATATTCAGGGACTCCAGACTGATGGTAGATTTAATATTTAGGGACTCCGGACTGGGGCCAGACTTGATATTCAGGGACTCCAGACTGATGGTAGATTTAATATTCAGGTACTCCAGATTGATGGTAGATTTAATATTTAGGGACTCCGGGCTGGAGGTAGATTTAATATTCAGGGACTCCAGACTGGGGGCAGATTTGATATTCTGGGATTCCAGACTTGTGGCATATTTAATATTCTGATATGTATGTGACTTGCTTTTTGAGGTGGGGAACAGAAAGAAAGGAGGAGAACGTGTAATGTCTTATTATTAAAGTATTCAGTGCTATAAGCATTGTTCTCTCACTTTCTTTCTAAATCTGACAATCTAAGATATAAGATGAAATGCACACATTCTACTTGACATTTGGTCATGGATCCATGGGCAATTCTCTGTAGTTTGGTTACACTGTGATCAGAGAGCGGGTCTGATATAAAATGTGACTATCGGGATAACTGCACAAAGAACTGATCAGAGTGTATTACAAAGCATTACTGTCCGTACTGCATACAGGAAATCCCAGCACATTGAGTATTTCCATATGTGGTCTGTACGATATCTTTCAAAAATATCTAAAATCTCTGTGTCAAAAATAGCAAGATAGAATGATAGACAGACACACAGACGGACAGACAAACAGCAGCAATATTTGTCGGTATAAAATATCCCCTCTGAATACCCAAACTCCTGTTTCTGATCCGGCCTGTTTGTCAGATACATAGTGTCGTTGTCATTGTAATAGTTGGTGTCTGTGTGTAAGGCAAGGAAAGGGTAGGAACCGAGACAGAATCTGATGCTATTGCAGAATTCAGTCATGCGAGAAATTGTGGGATGCTTTCACACTGTGTCAGCAACATATGAAGGTCCCTGTAAAGGTAAACTGATGGGAACTGCAGGAGGTGTCACTCAGATTTTGTGCGGGAGATAATAAGACAGTTGTTTAGAATGATGTTCTGTGCTGTAGACGTGCCAGGATTTGAACTGCTTTGCCAAAACACACATAAAACTCTGTAATAGATCATATTCATTCTACAGTGAGAATTCAGCAACGTGAGACAGCAGTTCAAAATGCAGACTGGTCATTTCCACTGTAATATTTGTTAGAATATTCTTAATGGAGACAGCCACACCTGTAGGGTATGGGGTTCTGATTTTATATAGACTTAGGGAATACAGGGAGATGGAGAGAGAGGGTAAGAGAGAGAGGAAGAGAGAGAGAGAGAGGGAAAGAGGGAGAGTAAAAACGAGAGCAGGATAGGTAAAGAGAGAGAGGTGGGAAAAGAGAAAGAGAGAGGGACAGAGAGGGAAAGAAATAAAGAGAAGGGGAGGGAGTGAGAGTAGAAGAAGGGGGGGGGGTGTAATATGGTGTCCAGGTGTCTATTACTTTATAACATCCATAACTCCTCATACATACCTGGTTCAATGATATTTTTTTCAGCTGACCTAAAGAGCAGAGATTACTCCACTATCAAACCTTAATACTCGAGTAGCCAGGTATAGACAATAAAAAGTAACAGGAGTTACACAGAAACATTCCAAATTCTGACACAATATAATATTAGATTATATGGCTTTAATGTCAAGTTAGATTTACTACGTACCATTACCATGACATTTCATGCTGTACAGTGCCATCTAGTGGCCAGTTTAGTCTACAGCAGTGATTCATGTACAAGATTGACTTTCCAACAATACTCATATAATCTTTTTCATGAGCCTAGATTTTGTATTCTAACCATCAAGGTCACAAACACAAATCGGTATATTTATAAAATGTACGTAGTACCCTGCTGGTGCACGTGTGTCTAAATTTAAAGCCATACAAGAAAAAGTTGACGCTGACTATGCCCATGAGTCTTGTTCCGCCAGAAGGACTGATTTGGCGCACCAGGCATTGGGGAAAACCCTCCGTTTATTGCTATTCCAGATCTTTAACTAGTTTGCTGTCATTCTTCTATAGGTAATTTATTTCCCTTTTTTATTTTTTTTATTAGGTTGTTTTATAAGAAATTTAATTCAATGCAGTTTCTCTAAATAAAATGTTATTGATGCCTTTTATGTTTTATTGCTTTCTCGATATACACTTCAGTTAGCGTCCCCTGTTCTCTCCGATGTCTTATACGCTTGTTACTTTTGTTATAACACGATTTGCGTGTTACTGTTACTGTTACTTTCCTCTACACTCTTTTTTTTATCATTCTCTTTATTCTCCTTCTCTACTGGCACAGTTACTGTCCCTTTTCTTCTTCCTTGATGTGTGCTCACATGTAAGAAGTTTGGACTTTACAGTAAACACCAGCAGCTCTGCCAAATTACTCAGTATCTGATCGTAAGAATACCCAATGGCTTTAATATGAGGGTGTATCTTTTTATTTTAACATCACTGCCATTGCAATACATCTGTTCGGTTACTATCACTCCAATCTTCTCAACTAGTTCCTCCTGAAACATTTAAATAAAAATAATTTTTTAAAAAGCCACATTTTAATTCATAGGTAGAAGAGATGTGTAAAATTGTGTACTAATGTTTAATGCAGCCATAATCAAAAGAAAAGCTGGAAGAAACACAAAACTTTAATAAAATAAAATTTATTTCAAATGTACTTCATTTGTAGCATTAGCAAATGGACTCTTGTTCGTGTGTAAGTGGCTCTCAGATGCAAACAGTATAAATCCCCACCTCCCGCTGGATGTGCTTGGAGATTCCATGCTGTCAGTGATCTTTAGGAAATGGATTTACTCAAATTCTCAATGGGTGATCCGGATAATATATGCGGAAACAGGAAGAGGCCATTGACAACATTATTCCACGTCTAATTTTACTTTTGAAGAGGCAGGGCTGGTTTGGGAGAAATTGTCTCTGCGCTTGAATAGTAAAAGGCATTTTGTAGGAATCCTAAGAGCTTCACTACTTCAATGGACTCTTTAATTACGTCATCTTATTGAAGTGATTATGGTGACTGAAGTCTTCTTGCGCCATCGCTTGGTTCAGTATAAACCATTCTTGATTAAATATCCTGAAGTGATTACTTTCAAGATGTCATCGGTCACATTAAACATAGAAGGTGTGGATTGTGTTTTATTCCTATTCTACGCTGCAGATCCCCCTTCTGCTGCCAAAATAGCACTGATGTCATGGACTCCACAAGACCTCTGAATGTGTCCTGTGGAATCTGGCACCAAGACATTAGCTGCAGATCCTTTAGGTCCTGAAAGTAGCGAGGTGGGGCCTCTTTGGATGGGATTTTTTGTTCAAATGCATCACACGGCTGCTCAAGCAGAATGAGATCTGAGGAATTTAGAGTTATGTGATATTGCAATAAAAACGATGGAAGTCTACTCTATCCTTTTCACATTATCAGAGGTTCATATACAGCTATTTTATATATATATATATATTTGAATTTTTTTGTAAACACTTTTAGAAAATGTACCACACAATTCAGATCCTTAGATGATCTATGTCTGTTTGGTGTACCAACTCATGCTATATATATTCATATGGAGATATATTAGTGATCGCTTGTGCTCCTTGAAGAAGTGAAAACATTTCATGAAACGCAAGAGAACAATCACCAGACCACCTGCTGTTTGGTTCCTGTGAGATCCCGCCTGTCCCCCCACGTCCCGACAGAACAGAGTGAGGACTGAAAACTATCAAAAATCTGCAAGCAATGTTTATCACTAGTCACGCAGGTGGGGTCTACAGAAGGTCAGAAAACCTAAACTTCAATTGACAAGACAATACTGTCACTGACTGTAGAAATGTGTTGGACAATCACAGGACGTGGTTGTCTCTTTATTCGGATCACTATATATTCACCATTATCATGTGAGCCTTGTTTTAAGTGGGGATCCTGGATTTCGACATTTGTTTTTATCAACGGTTATATTTGATTGCATGTACTGCCACACTGCATATTTATATTTCATTTTGGGAGGTTAAATACATTTTGTAAATGCATTGTGGGTTTTTGTTTTTTTTTCTAACTCAGTATCTATAATGTTTCAATAAATGTTAAGGTTTGGCCTGCAGTTGTGGGAGGGGCATGGTACCTATTTAAACCCCCCTACTCACCTTACTCCGTCCCGTACGTTTTTTAGCGACTCGCATGTCGCTATTTCCGGTCGTTTTTTCCAACCCATCAATAACTAACATTTTGAGAAAGTTACACTTCAGAAATGAGGTAAATGATTGGGAACTAGCATTGTACAATTCCCCTTACCTGGTCCTCATGTCTTCATGGCTTGGCCTGCTGTTTCCCTTTCCCAGTCACTGTGGTTTATCTACATACCACATTGCAGACCGACAACAGACCTTTTGGTACTATGTCATTATTTTAAGTATGGAAATAATTCTAAACACCCACATTTATTTGATACCACCAGTGTTGTGGTGCACTGGAATCCGGGTTGCTATGTTAAGCCACAATAGAAGAGTTTTGGCTATTCTACTGAGCTGGTTTTGCCTTATTTTTTGCGGTTGGGTTATCAGTTCTGACTTCCCTATTTTCAATTATTATGGTCTAGGGGGGGTATTCACTAAAAAACCACAACTAGATTTGCCACGATCATATTTACTAACAGCAAACCGGTTGTTTTTTTCGTGCCACAATACATCCTAAGTTGAGCCCCGTGGGCTTTACACCAACATGTATTCTATTATCTATTGCTGGGAATGCTCCATACGGCCTGACCACCTGGACTCTGACGTGCTTACTCTGCACTTCAGTTACGGTCGGCCCTGCCGTACTTCCTCGTTCACCCTCAAGTTTTTCGATGAACGTTCATCAAATCCGTCCTCTCTCACGCTACCTTCCCTCCCCTCTTAGTTAGCTGTGGCTGGCAGTCAGGGTCCTGGGTGTCCACTACTTGTAAATTCCCCCTGGCTTCTTCGCCTTAGGTTAGTGGTCCCGCGAGGCCAACACCCACCCTCATACTCGGAGGTACTATGCCCCTCGGGCCAAATCATTGTTAGTCGCCTCGCATTGTGGCATAGGGACAGCCTCACCTGTCACTCCCATTCTATCTTATGTTTAACTGTCACGAGAGGCCGACACCCCACCACAATGTTTCAGTGGCCACGATATCCCCTCGCGCCAACGCATAGATAGAGCCTCTTACGCCGCTTGGCATCTAGCAGGGCCTCACCTGTCACCAAATCCAGTTTTAATTGTTTCACCTTTTGGCTTAGCTAGTATGCCAGCACTCCCGCGCACAATCACACACATACACGCTCGCACTTGGTCTCGTGACCCCCGTGGGGTTTACACCACCACGGTTTCTGCTGCCTACGGCCAAGCTCGCTCCTTTCAGCCTGTCCGTCTGGACTCTGACGTGCTTACTCTGCTTTTGGTTATGGTCGGCCCTGCGGTATTTCCTCGTTCACCCTCACGTCTTCGATACACGTTCAGCACATCCGTCCTCTCTCACACTACCTTCCCTCCCCTCTTAGTTGGCTGTGGCTGGTGGTCAGGGTCCTAGGGTCCACTAGTTTGTAATTCACCCCCCCGGCTTCTTTGCCTTAGGTTAGTGGTCCCGCGAGGCCAACACCCATCCTCATACTCGGAGGTACTACGCCCCTTGGGCCAAATCATAGTTAGTCGCCTCGCATTGTGGCATAGGGAGGGCCTCACCTGTCACTCCCATTCTATCTTATGTTACCTGTCACCGAGAGGCCAACACCCCGCCACAACGTTCAGTGGCCATGTTATCCCCTCGCGCCAACTCATAGATAGAGCCTCTCACGCCGCTTGGAATCTAGCAGGGCCTCACCTGTCACCAAACCTAGTTTTTAATTGCTTCGCCTTTTGGTATTTGCTAGTATGCCAGCACACATACACATACACACACACGCATTGGGTCACTTATGCGCTGCCTATTCGTCTCTTTTTCTAGCAGGTCTCTGCTGCTAAGCATTGGCATGGTATTGTCCGCCTGGGCTCTCTGGCTTGGTCTGGTACCCTTCGCGCTGTGGTGCTTTGGCTACTCCTACCTTTTTCGGGTCCTGGGCCCTTTCTTGCTTCGCTGCGGTTCTCGCGAGTCCCTTTCTCTCCCCCCCCACCCGGCAGCCTTTCGGACAGCTGAACTCTCAGTCCGCACTCCACAGGTAACACTGTGGAGTGGGGGGCGCCGAGTTCGCTCTTACTTCTCCGTTTCGCCTCCTGGTTGTCTTCGCTGCTGTCGTCTATGGGGCGGTATCGGATGGCAGTTTGGGGTAACTGGCATCTGCCACTTTGGCTGGTTCTGATCCAGGCTTCCAGCACCCTTCGGGGGCCCGACCATGGGCTGCCAGCCTGGTTAGCTTGTGGTCATCATTTTTCGCGTATGGCTCTTTTTCCAATGCTCGCTCTTTTGTGTGTTCGGGCCTTCTTTCCCTTTGAGGCTCCTTCTTCGCGTATACCAATACTGTTCCTGTATGGGCATGGTACCTATTTAAACCCCGCTACTTACCTTCCTCCATCCCGTACGTTTTTTAGCGACTCGCATGTCCCCACCCTCCACTCCCTCTTTCTATACTTTCATTACACCTCATGGGTGGGCCCTCTTTTATAACAGGCCTACCACGACGTCGGTTCCGGCACACCTCAACCGACTTATTTCCCTTTTACTTCCTATACGGCCTTATTTGCCCCGCACACAAATAAGTTTTAACATTTTACATAAGTCTGTCGGTAACGCTTCATGATATGTCTACTAAAATGATATTTTCGCTTACCCATTTTTCCTTCTTCCAACACAGGAAATTCAAGAAATAACCGTTCCCTCGCTGCCTAATATATCCCACCCGTTGACAAGCACGATTGTCGCAATATAATCAATGTTATTCACTTCACCTGTTAGTAGTTTTAATGTTGTGGATGATCAGTGTATGTTGTGGACAGTTTAAGAAATGTAGTATTTTGGATTGTGGCACATTGTTACTGCCAGTAAATAGGCTGCAGTTTGAAATGTAACTAATCCCAAAGGACCTGCAAGAATCAATGTTTGTTTTACCGCAAACTTTAAGAATGAATTCAGGTCATTGTTTAAGTGGTTACATTGGATGCAAGCGCCATCATGTGGTAGAAAGTAGTATTGTTTGTGATATATATATATATTTTAATCTGTAAAAGAGTGCATCTATTCACCAACCAGAATTTAAAGAGAACTGGCAATGAGATTGTAATTATAGGCCAACTTGTACTACATCTACCTCTTGACCATGAAGGATATTTTATCATAATATCAGATTTGAAAAGTGGAGTGAATACTAGTGTGAGTGGTACAGTACAGGTAAGAAAAAAACACACTTAACTATGTAACATGTAAGCTCATTTGGGTCCTCTTCAACCTATCGTCCCTGTAAGTTTTTTTGTAATTGTCCTATTTATAGTTAAATCCCCCGCAATTCTTATAATATTGTAAAGCGTTACGGAATCTGTCGGCGCTATATAAATGCCAATAATAATAACACTTCCATACCTTCCAAGTGTCCCTATTTAGGAGACACTCAGACCCTCTTTTCCATCCTTATGTCCTTCTTTACTAGGAGCTCTGTATTGTTTGTGTGTATGAGTGTATAACAGAGCTCCACAGCAATAATACTCCTAGTAACGTGTCTGAGTGTATGAGAGAGCTCCACAGCAATAATACTCCCAGTAATGTGTCTGAGTGTATGAGAGAGCTCCACAGCAATAATACTCCCAGTAATGTGTCTGAGTGTATCACAGAGCTCCACAGCAATTATACTCCCAGTAATGTGTCTGAGTGTATGAGAGAGCTCCACAGCAATAATACTCCCAGTAATGTGTCTGAGTGTATGAGAGAGCTCCACAGCAATAATACTCCCAGTAATGTGGCTGAGTGTATAACAGAGCTCCACAGTAATAATACTCCCAGTTATGTGTCTCAGTGTATAACAGAGCTCCACGGCAATAATACTCCCAGTAATGTGTCTGAGTGTATAACAGAGCTCCAAAGCAATAATACTCCCAGTAATGTGTCTGACTGTATAACAGAGCTCCACAGCAATAATACTCCCAGTAATGTGTCTGAGTATATAACAGAGCTCCACAGCAATAATACTCCCAGTAATGTGTCTGAGCGTATAACAGAGCTCCACGGCAATAATACTCCCAGTAATATGTCTGAGTGTATAACAGAGCTCCACAGCAATAATACTCCCAGCT